TCTGTGGGGGTTACCCTCAGCGTTTTGCAAGGGCACAGGCTGGTCCTGTGGAGAGATTAGGCTGCCGTCATGGGGCTTCATCCAGGGTGTTTGGGGTAGCTGCGAGCTGACGCCTTTCAGCCTAATTTCCTTAAGTTCAGTTGTTTGGAGTTCTTTTTGCTACCAGCTGGTTCAAATTCTTAGTAGCTAGAAGAAATTAAATGGTCTCTGCAAGTTTCCGCTCTCCTTATTAAACAAGCTTTTCCTGTTTTAAAATAAAGGTGAGTCTTAATAGATTCATTCTCAGTTAAGTGCTTCCTTTATGGGATGGGAGTTCCTCAAATGAGTGAGGCCTCTGGAAGTCCCTTCAGCACCGGGAAGCCTCCAAGAGGCTCAGGCTTGGGAAGGGCATTTACCAAGAGGCCAGACTTGTTCTGTGCAGGAGTCGCTGCTTCCTTGGAGGCTTAGTGATTCAGAAGAGGCAGGATGAGCTTCAACTGCCCCAAGTTACCCTGGGCTAGCGCATAACCTTGTGAACTTGCACTTGGAAGTGCCTCCTTTCTTTCCAAAGTGTCTTCGCTTGGTCCTGGTTGGAGGGGGTACAGCTGAGGTGGTTTAGGCAGCACATCGTGCAAACTGTGCATCCCGCTGGATGCGTGGTGCTCCTCAACCCCAGGCTCTGTGTACTTGAAAAAGAGGAGGCAAGGCCTAGTCCAGGCACACCAGGCGTTGCCTCCACCCCGGCTGAAAGGCAGTGTTACAGCCCAGATGGGGCCCAGGATGGGGTTATTTCTTGTCAATACAGTGACCTAGATGGGGAAAATACTTGGCCTCCCCTCTTCTCCCACTGAAGTGGGAAATGGGCTGTGAGTGGCCAGCAGCGGTAGCTCACTTGTGGGCGAGGCCAGGCGGCACTCAGGCAGACGAGTGAAGAGTTCAGGTGTTTGGATGCAGAAGTTACAGCCCAGATGGGGCCCAGGATGGGGTTATTTCTTGTCAATACAGTGACCTAGATGGGGAAAATACTTGGCCTCCCCTCTTCTCCCACTGAAGTGGGAAATGGGCTGTGAGTGGCCAGCAGCGGTAGCTCACTTGTGGGCGAGGCCAGGCGGCACTCAGGCAGACGAGTGAAGAGTTCAGGTGTTTGGATGCAGAATAAAAAGCAATTAAGATGTAACCGCTGCCGATGTTTCCCTAAGCTT